CGCGGCCGCATTCTGGACCAGTTGAAGTCTCCGGGTGCTCCTCAAAGGGAGCCCCATGTAGAGAGCATTACAGTAGTCCAGGCGGGAGGTGACGAGAGCTTGAGTGACTGTGCGCAAAGCGTCCCGGTCCAGAAATGGACGCAACTGGTAAATCAGGCGGACCTGATAGAACGCCCCCCTGGTCACGGCCGACAAATGAAGTGCTTGTGCTTCTTTCCTGGATTCCTGACACTAAGAGCCATGAGGAAAAGCCCTGAGGGAAAAGAGCGACATAATTCACCGCATCCTGGGGTCATAAATCACAAGACATCCACCTTGCCATCCCAGTGTAATGACAGATGCCAAGTCACTGATTAGTACCATGTTCAAAAGGGTGGAGTCCCCAACTAAATGAGATACTCCTCAGAGTATCTGTGTCATCTACACAAATTAGTATTTACTTTTTTGGAGAAATAAACAACTTTATCAGATCATTGCTGAAGTTGTTTATTTCTCCAAAGAAGTAAATACTAATTTGTGCTGCTCTTCTCCTGACTGCTCTTGGGAGCTCTTCTGCTTTTCAAAAGTTTGATTTTGAAATTATTCTGCCTGTAACCCTCCCCACCCCAAAGCAACCTGTGTGATCAACACATCGGTAGAGCACTCGCTCTGCCTCTTCATCCAAGTGTTCAATGAAAATTGTGAAGAGTAAAGGACCTGGTCTCATCCTTGTAGAAATAGTCTTTCTAATGTGATGAGAAACTCTCCTAGAATGGTTTTCACACCAATTTTGTATCTCCTTTAATTGTTCTAGCCAGTTGAGGATTAAATAGTTAACCATTTTAAGCTAACTTGAGCACATACAAATAGAAAGGCGAGGTATAAATGTAATATAAGTTTCAAAATTAAAAACTAATCAGAATGTCTCGTCTATGGAGATTCTCCATCATTCAGGTCACAGTCATCCCAAAGATGCTTTTTCACGAGGCAACTGGACTTCCTTGTTTTTCTTTGAAGATGTTTCGCTTCTCATGCAAGAAGAGCAGAAGAAACTTCTTGGACGAGAAGCAAAACGTCTTCAAAGAAAAACAAGGAAGTCCAGTTGCCTCGTGAAAAAAGCACCTTAGGGATAATCAGAATGTCTTGAGATGTACAGATAGTCTCAGTGCCCAAGAAGTCCTATACTAAGTTTGGCTTTCATGCCTGAACAGAGGCATCCCAGATTCACGAGTCCAGGTTCCCCAGGAAGTTTAGTCCAGGAATATGGGCTTCTCAGTGAGAATGCCCCAATTACAGTAGGGAACTCTGCCCTGTCCACTGGGCACCAAAAGCTGAATTGGTGACGTAGGTGTCTCCTGGAATTTTGGGAGACTCACCCGAATCTTATTGATACAGTCGTAAGTGTTGTGGGCCAGGATGCAAGAAACCCTCTTCAAAGTACTGCTGGAGACAGGCGGCAAAGTAGACAGAAGGGCTTTGGAGAGCTCAGCGCATTTCTTCTGCTCCAGGGGGGAAAGCGTACACCAGCGGAGCTTCTTCCCTGCAAGCACATAGGAGGTTAAACAGCACAGCCCTTTCAAGCTAAATAGCTGTTAGCAACAGAGCCACCCACCCAGATCACCTCCAAATGACCACAAATGAAAGCCCCAGGGTCACGTCCACTTAGTGTGCTACACTTGCTTAGCTCTGTCCACTTTGAGCTGGGGAACCAGGATAACCTCTAGGTGGGAGAGCAGAAGCAAAACAGATGTTTGAACTGGATACCCTCCCTTTCTGTCACCCTTACCTGAGGCCAGATGAGCAACAACAGGCAAGACAAGGAGAACAGCCACAGGAAACAACTTCATGACGGCAGAGGCCCAAATCATCGTCTTCCCCTTCCCTCATTCCAAAGATTCCAAAGCAGTGACAGGAATTTGGGGGGGGGGGGAGAGACCGAAAATGCGTGATGCAGCAGCTGTGTGGGCTGGAAGTGAAAGTGATGGGATGGGCAGGAGAGAAGGCCAATCCGTTTGTGCTGATGGGAAATTTTACAAAGCAAAACCTCAGCCAGGCAAAATAAAGGATTGCAAGCCTTTTGCTTTTCTCTTCCAACTCCTCTGGGGTGGTTAAAAAGCAGGTGCTACATTGAAAAGATGACACTGGCCAGGGTTAGATTTAGACTAGCCTAGTGAGGCATCCCACATACCAGCATTTTGACAAATGAAGACACCGTAGAAGACATGGTAGTGAAAAATCAGGAGTCCAGTAGCATCTTTTTTGACTAACTCATTTTATTGTAAAGACATAAAACCACTCTTTTCTGATTTTTAAAAAATGCAGGTGAAACTAACCTGCACCCTCTCCATCTCTGTTGTCCTCTGTTCACATTTTGCATCTAATTATAACAAGGCTGGCTTAGTAGGATGTGTAGATCTGTATCTTATACAAGGGCAATTCGGAAATAACCCCCCCCCTTGGGTTATCAATGACAGACATTCGCAGATACAGAACTTTTATTATACACATTAGAAAACTACAACATTACATTACTTTTTGACATAATCGCCATTCAAATTGAGACACTTGTCATAAGGTCTTACAAGGTTTGAAATGTCTTAGTACTAGTCGCTCGGTGCCAAATCTGGGGTATGGGGGGGTGATCAAAAACATCCCAACGGAACTGCTTCAAAAGTTCTTGGGTGCATCTAGCGGTGTGCGGGTGAGCATTATCGTGAACCAACACAACGGAAGTCAGCAGGCCCCGATGCTTGTTATGGATGGCTCGTCTGAGTTTTCGTAACGTTTCACAGTAGACTTCTGAATTGATGATCGAACCAGGCTCCATGAACTTCACTGGCAGTACTCCTTTGGCATCTTCACATTTGGCGGGATTTTCTATGGCCTCACTTCCAGTGTGGTGTTGGTTCAAAACAATGCTTGTCCACACACCGCTAGACGCACCCAAGAACTTTTGAAGTAGTTCTGCTGGGATGTTTTTGATCATACCTCCCCCCCCCCATAGCCCAGATTTGGTGCCGAGCGACTACGACTAAGGAATTTCAAACCTTGTAAGACCTTATGACAAGTGCCTCAATTTGAATGTGCGATTATGTCAAAAAGTAATGTAATGTTGTAGTTTTCTAATGTGTAATAATGAAAGTTCTGTATCTGAGAGTGTCTTGTCATTGATAACCCAAGGGGGGTTTATTTCCGAATTGCCCTCATACTTATTAACATTGATTATGTATCATCAAATTGTTATAAACTCTTTAGCAACCACAGATTTTCACCAGGAAGACCTAATGCTTTTTCTCTTCCAAGGAGACCTCATGGCCACTGGAACGAAGCCCATCCTCCTTGCTACCGGTTGCCCTCTTCTTTTCTTTCTTTTCATCTTTCCCAGCATCAGACCTTTTCCAGAGAGATGGGTCCTTGCATGAGATATCTGGTCAAGTGTGGTTTGAGGGAAAACACAGGGTCCATTTGTTTTGATGATCCATCCATTTGTTTTCTTATCTGTCCACAGTATTCTCAGGAGTCTTCTCCAACATGAAAAGCTTCAATATTCTTTTCTTCCTGCTTAGTCAAAGTCCAACTGTCACTTTTACACAGCGTCACAGGGAATACCACAGCATCTGTGATTCTGTAAGTAGAGGCATCCCAACATTTTAATATCTTTTCAAAGGCCTTCATGGCTGCTTTATGGTATTTTTTGACTAGTGGTTCATTGTCTGCTGAGGGTGGGCCCTAAAAGGCAGAAGTTCTCCACCACTTCAAGATCTCCCTGGACAGCTCCAAAGTTACCATCCCACCGCAGACATGGGTGTTTTGTCCAACTGGCTGCCACCCGGATTTTGGCCACCCAGGAACCGCAGAGGCACTCAATGAGGGCATCTTCTCCAGTGGTGGTCACGGCTTCTCCGGCCAAAAGAGAGACCTTCCTCTTCTTTCCAACAGCAGCAAGCCCTGAAGGCTTGAGTTATTTATAAAAATAATAAAGATGGGATATACATGAATAAAATAATAAGTAATAAATACATAAATAGGGTCCCACCACCATTTGCAGGTGGATCTCTGCGTGAAAAAGCACTAAAACAGTATTTTAATTTTTTTAAAAAAAAAACCCTAATTGATGAGATGGTTATCTATCAGCAGAGGCTCTCACTTACTTCAAAGAGGCCCTCACATATATATGTTATTTATGACATATTTATAACTATGTCATAAATAACTGTATCTCATATGTATGCATGCATGCATGCATGCATGCATGCATGTATGTATGTATGTATGTATGTATGATGTGTGTGTGGCCATAACTCTCTCGCTCTCTGTGTTTATAGCCCCTCAGGCCAAGGGTAGGCAACCTTGGCTCTTTTATGACTCGTGGACTTCAACTCCCAGAATTCCTCAGCCAACATGGGGGAACTATGGCCCCCTCATGACTTGTGGACTTCAACTCCCAGAATTCCTGGGCTAGCATGGCTCAGCGTGGAAACCTCTCCCTTCCCCTCAGCATGGCTGGCTCAGGAATTCTGGGAATTGAAGTCCACCAGTCATAAAAGTGCCAAGGTTGCCTACCCCTACCTCAGGCTGAGGAAGATGGGCGTTGTGATCCGGCGGGGAGGGGCGTGGCTCCAGCCGCGGCGGCCCTCTTCGGTATGGCCTACCTCACGGGGCGGGCGTGAGGAGGCGGCGGCGGCGGCGGCGAACGGAGCGCGGCCGCCCTCAGGCTCGCACTGTCGGCGGCGGC